GTAAACCTGAGATAGAATCAGAAGTTGTATTCAATAGATTAGTCATATGTTGCAACATGTTTTTAATTCAAACAAACTAACTTATTTTCGATAAAAAAAATATTTTTATCGTTATAACAGTTTACGCAAAATCGAATTTCAAAGTGATCTCCCTCCCACTATTTCACTATTTTCTTTACAACAATGTAAAGGTAAAGGCTCACTTTTAATAAACTTAAAAGTACCAAAACTGGTCAAAGTAATACTTAAAAGGGACTGTTTTGATCTTTTTACAAAATATAAGACTATTTTGTCAGTTTCGAAATATTCACCGTTTGCCTTCACCGATTCGTTGTCATCATTAACCTTTTTTGGCTTCTTATTCTAAATTTTCTCCTCTAAAACCTCAAGGATTTCTCATTCAATGCAACTTCTGGGGTTGTTTCTCCCTTCATAAAAACAACAAAAACCAAAAAAAATTGCAAAAAAATTGAAAAAAAGAAGAAGTTATAAAGATAAATAGCCTTCTGGGTTCTGTAATTTGCTGATTTTTCAGGTACTTTTTCATATTTTTTTCTTGTTCATATTGATTTATATCATTCTATGGACCCCTTTTTGATTTGGGGTTTCTAGTTTATGTATGATTTGAACGATCCTTGATTCATTGTTATTATTACTTGCTGAAACAATTTTTGTGATTTTGTATGTTCTTGTTGAAGTTGTGTATTTGTTGGTTAATGTTGAAGTTTTACGTTAAAGACATGATTTTTTGATCTGGGGTTTCTTGTTTGATCTGTGTTTTACTATTTTCATGTTCAAATGTTTGATTGAAGGGATTTTCGTTCTTAAAAATCGAACCTTTAGTTAAGTTGTTCTTGAGTTAAATGGTATAATGTGCTTAATGGATTGTTTTGATCAAGTTTTTTTTGTTTTTTTTTTAAAGCAAAAACAGAAAAAATTTGAATAGCTTTCTGGGTTGCTATGATTTGTCGTTTATCAGGTAATTTGCATATGCTTTCTAGTTCAGATTGATTGGTTTTTATGGTACTTGTGATATTTAATGGACAAGGTGTTGGAATAGTAATTCAAAGTTGGAGTGGGTAAAGTTAATTAGTATTTGTTATTCATGATATTTTACTTATTTATGTTCAATTGATTCTTAAACGTAATTTAATTTTGTTTATACTAAATTAAATAGGGATGTTGTTAGTTAGTTTTCAATATACAACATTATGCAGAATGGACAGATAGATCTTGAAGTAAGATTCAAAAAACTTTTGAGTTTATAAATAAAATATTTTCCTTCACAGGGTTTTTTAGCTTTTAGCTTCTGTCTAATTTGAACGTTCCCTGATTCAGTTAGGTTATTACTTGGTGAAATGTTGCACTAGTGAATTTGGCTGTTAACATTGAAGTTTTACGCGAAAAGACGTGATTTTTTGATATGGGATTTCTAGTTTGATTTGTGTTTTTCTATTTTCAGGTTCAAAATTTTTGATTGAAGGGAGTTTTTTTGCTTATCTCTATGGTGAGTACTTTAAAGTTTGGATCTTTGTTTAGCTGTTTTTAGAGTTGAATGGTAAAAATGTGCTTATTGGATTGTTCTGATTGAGTTTGGTGGTATTCAGGGAGAAGCTCCGGCTTTCTTTGCTGATAATCTTATGGGAGATTCTCCAAAGAAAGTCGATTCGAAATCGAAGGGCATTGAAACGGCTATTGTTGTTGGGAGTAAAATAGTATGACGATTCGATATATACTGATTTAATGCAATTTATTCATTTTTATTAACTATCAATGAAATGTTTTCTTTCCTTATTTTCATCAGTATGTGATTGATGGGGTTGATCATGAATTGGGGTCGACTGTTGGAGTTCGAATCTTTGATAAGTCTACTGGGGAATGGTGAGCTTTCTGCTGTAGTTGGTTACGCTTTAACTGTTTATTGTTGTTCTGTAGCTGTTGGATAGGATGAAAATGTATGAATGGATTTCACAGGAGAATCCCTATTGTGTTGGGAACAAAACCCAAGCCATCTAAGGACTTCTCAGCTGTGCTTTTAAATGATGATCGTGTGTTAGTTGTTAGAGGGAACTCTGGTTCTAGTGAATGCTTTTGGTTTCTTGAGGTCAGTAAATCTCATGCTTACATGTTCCAAATGCTACTCTCTTCAAGGTTTTTATTTTTAATGTCAAAACCTTTCGCGGAGTTTGTTGATGATTCATTTTATCTCTGCATGAAAAGGATTAATAGGAAAACTGCTTAGGTATTGACATCAATATCATTTGTTTGTTGAATAATGTGAAAATGAAATAACGAATTCAATAATTTGTGTTAATGAATTAATTCAAGAACCTGTTCTCGCGTTATGCCAAAAGCTCTGTCATGCTTTTGTAGGTGGGCACTCCATTTGTTAGAGAACATGAAAAGACTTTAGGGAATGAGGTGGTTGCCTGGAGCAAAGGAGTTTTAGGCAATGTTGAGAAGCCTATTGTCATTAGTGGCCCTTCTGGAGTGGGTAAGGGCACCCTGATATCAAAGCTAATGAAAGAATTTCCATCCATGTTTGGATTTTCCGTGAGCCACACAACTCGAGCACCAAGAGCGAAGGAGCAGAATGGGATTCATTACCATTTTACTGACCGCAATGTGATGGAGAGTGAGATAAAGGATGGCAAGTTTCTTGAATTTGCTTCTGTTCATGGTAATCTCTATGGAACAAGTGTAGAAGCTGTTGAGGTGGTTGCTGATGCTGGCAAGGTATTTGTTCTTCCATGTTATTTATTCCATTAAAATATGGGTTTTCTTTTAATCATCATCGATGCATAAACTGCAATGTTTCTATGATTTAGTTAATGATATTCTTTTTTGAAAGTTAGCACTTAAATGTTTTTTTAAAATGACGTTAGAACTTAAATGTACCTTAAAGAAAGAAGTGAAATTCTCTCTTTGATGGACCCTTATGGTTATAGTAGCTTCATTTAGCTTTTTAGATTCTCCCTTGAGAATAAATGCCGAAATTTTTAATTCTATCCCCACAGAGAGTAGATGCTCAGAATTGTGATATTTTGGCAAATACGATGACTAAACATCTGTGAGTTTTGGAATCTGTCTAACCGGTAGATCCTAAAGCCCTAGAGAGACACATGATTGGATACTTTCATACCTATGTGTTAGCCGGCCACCAGAGTCATGCTTTTGTACTATATTTTAGGAGTAGAATATTTATTTCTAATTGTAATTTTGCTGTCACACATCATGCAAGTTAGGTCTCGAAGCTGTGGCAACTAATATCTTTTTTAATTTAATGTAGGTATTGTAAAATTAACTAATTTCATTGTTCTTTAGGATATAGCTAGACTCTTCTAAGCGAGTTTTCGTTTTTTCTGAAACTTCTATCACACAGCTCAATTTTTCTATGGGATATGGCTAAGGTTTCTCGTTGTTTTTACGTCAACCCCTCCCCGGGAATACTGCCCTCCTCAGCCTACCATCCTCTTGCCGTCCCCACTGTCTAAAAAAAGGCAAAAGTAGTTATACACTGCAGTGGATGCAGATTTTGATAATTTACGTATCAGTTTTTCTAAATGATGGAGATCTTTGTCAGTTCTTAGATATCTAGAAATGGCATAATAGCAAGGATAAATATTTGCATGTGCATTACATTAGATGTTTCCTCTGCAACCTTCAAAAACGGTTTAGTTCTGTGTGATTGTGTAGCGATGTATCCTTGATATCGATGTTCAAGGAGCAAGGTCTGTGAGAGCTAGCGCTCTTGAAGCCATTTTCATTTTCATTGCTCCTCCTTCTTTTGACGAACTTGAGAAGCGTCTTCGTGCAAGGTGGGCTATTCAAGAAATTTAAAGTTTCTCATATTACATGTTGTTTAGTTATAAAAAGTATCGTCCATATTTTGAACAGGGCAACTGAGACCGAGGAACAAATCCAAAAGCGTCTCCAGAATGCTAGGGCAGAACTTGAACAAGGAAAATCATCTGGTCTGTTTGATCATATTTTGGTAAACGATGATCTTGAAACTTGTTATGAGAAACTCAAGGTGATTCTAGTTAAAAACTCATCTTTCCCTATTTTATACATAAATAAACGTCTTATCTAACAGACAATAATTCTTACGAAGAGAATATATTTACATCTACTAACACGACATAATGTATCTTTCAATTGATGTAGAACATTTTGTGTCTAAGAGAAGCTGTGAAATCTGCTCCTAAGACAAGTAAGTTAGTGCTAGTATTTTGATGCCGTAGTTCTAAAGATCAAATAATGCACCATTAATGATTCATGATTTTTTTCACAACTACAATTCCAGAATCATTCAACTTGTCCATCAAACATCCAGTGTCAATGATCGATCAAAAGCTTCTGATCAACTGTACTGCTGCAGAAGATGAAAATACATCAACTAACATGTATGCAATCTCTTTTTCTTGATAATCGATTATCCATTCTGTATGAGAATTCTAGAGCCTGGAGCGTCTGTTGCAGGTACGTTCTGGACTTTTTGCTCAAAGGAGGAGCCCCTGGACGGACAAGAGGACTAAACATGTATGCTATCAATCCTTTGACTGATGATGTAAATGGTAACAACCAGCTGCACTTAACATCCAGTTTTGATTGACCACATCTTCTCTTCCTTTAAGTCGATGCAGAGGGCTTGAGCCCCTTTGAAAGAACCACAATTTTGACTTCCCGGTATCATTCTTGGATTGCAACAATGATTCGGAAATCCATGTTAGTTTACTATATTCAAAGAAAACATATGTTGGATAGGATGCTTTTCGTTCTTTTATCTATTTGGTTTCGTTTCTTCTAAAAGCTTATTCATTTAAATACAGTCATTACCATGAAGTTTCAAATTCTACGAGTGAAACTTTAAGACGTAGAATATGTAAGCATAGACAAACACCATGATATTGCTGCTTTCCCTTATCTTTTTAATGTTGCTTTTAAAATTTTTACATCTATGATTATAATTTCCCTCAAAGTTATACAAACCTAAAACATACACTACAAGTATTGTTTTATTATATATAATATAATGTAGTTACAACTGCAGGGATATTGGATATTTACATAACTCCCAAAAGAGTAAATTAAACTACAGTATATATCATTCAGATGAGAATAAATTAAGTGGTACTTATGACTCGAAGACCAAGTAAAAGACTACTAGACGTCTTGTAGAGCATCTCAAAAGATCTTGTAGAGCGATTCAATAGACTACTAGATGTCTTGTAGAGCGACTCAAAAGACTGCTAGACGTCTTGTAGAGCGACTCTCTTTTTAGAAATGTTCTGAGTGCATGCAGTTGCAATGATTGTTGTCATTGAGGTTCCACTGATAATGACAACCCAATTGAAGATTTTCTGTAGTATTATGTATTCCAGATTGGAACTGAAATCCCTCAACAGAGTTGGTATTATTGGATGATCCAATATCACCTTCATAATTGAGTAGGTAATTTGGAGAAGAATTTGAGTCCAATGAACTTTTGCCTCTACTACTTGGAGTAGTGTTGTTATTAGTTGTAGTAGTTGTAGATTGGATTTTCTTCTTTGTGTTGAGGAATCTACCTCCACCATCTCTAGCTCTCCTCATCGCGTGTCGGTGACGCGATTCGTGAAGATAAGGCTGATTTACATACATACATACATATTGAACAAACAAAATAACATCATTTGTTGCGTTCAACTGATTCCATTATGTTATGTATATGCATATGAAGATAGGGAATATATATATATATACATTTTGAACAAACAAAACAACATCATTTACCTGTCGTCTCTGCGCGTTCAACTGGTCCCATTATTTTGACTCAAAACTATATATGTATATGCATATGGTGATACAGCTGATATACATTTGAATAAACAAAAGAACATCAATTGTCGGTTGTATTCAACTGATTTCATTACTTTCGACTCAAACTATATATGCATACCTATGAAGATAAGGTTGATATACATTTAAACAAAGAAAACAAATCTCTGTGCGTTCAACTGGTTCCATTACCTTCTACTCAAACTATATACGTATATGCATATGAATATACACTTGAACAAACAATACATATGCAAAGAAGAAAATATTTGTATGCATGGTATAAGATAATTAATACTTATTTGTTAAACGAACTGACTCTAGATTCTGAATTCCAATTACTATTCATCGCTATCTATGCGTAGTAGTAACAAGTGTATGTCTACGCGATCGATGAGCTTAACCAATTCACAAAATGTATTAAAATTATGATTATTAATAAGAACACTTCTCCAAAATTAAGATGCATGAGTAGAGCGATCAACTATTCTCTTCAAAAATGTCGAAGGATGTGTGTTGACTTTTTCAAAAGATCAGATATAGACGTGACAACATTTTTGGAGAGTCCGAGCAACATAACTAGTATAAGCAATCAAGAAAAAATAACTTTTACGGTCATTGAAAATATTCTTTGACGGTCCAGATAGTAATTTAAGACAAACAAATCGAAACGATGAGATTACCTTTCGAGATTTGACCACTTTTTGTTGCAACACAGCCTTAGCACGAAGTTGCCTTCGTCTAAGAATTCCATGGTATTGTTTTGCATTTACATACATTGGCTCCTCTTTCACTTCAACTGGCAAAATCATTCTTCCATTATGATGAACTATTGATGATCTCTCCATATTTTGATTTACCTATTTATAAAAGGAAAAAAATCCGCGATAACGTTACGTTTTACTACTCTGATACTATATTGAAGGGTACGTGCGACAATTATATTTAAAAGTCTAATTTATTAGAGAGAGCAAATTAAATTGTGTAAATATTTAGTATAAAACAATTTACTTAACTATTATTATATGAACGATCTGATTATGTAAATATTTTTTACGTCGTCGATACATAGAACACAAATTCACATAAAGAGAAGGACATACCATAGGTTCACCACAAGCAATAGTAACATTGCCACCAGAATATTGTGGTACTTCTGAAAAGGGGTATGATTTAAATGCCTGAATAATTTGTTTTTTTTATAAATATAAGTATTAGTAAATTAAATAATTAATTCCAATCAAATTTCAAATTTATAAATTAAAAAAAAAGGAAATTATTACTCACAATTGAGGAGGGTGTCATTAGTTCAAATTGATTTGCTGCTCTTAAATTTTCACCCATGATTGGAGGTATAAATTCTACATGTTTGCCTTCTCTCTTAAAATCACTATCTGCTAATTAAAAATAATAATTTCAAATTATGTGTTAGTTTTTCATTTCTCGAGATATAAATCACGTGAAATTTAATTAGTACTTTAAAATTATGTTGTTTTCAAGATAGGTATAAGTTAAGACTGCGTATTCATTATCTTTTTTAGATTTCATTAATATAATTACACTGAATATGATATTGTACATCATACTGAGATCATAAGAAGAATTACCATTATAAACTTAATTCTCAAAAAGAAAAAAAATGACACTTATTTTAAGACGAAAGATATCGTAAAAATTAAAATAATAATAAAAATATACTAAAAGTTATAATATTATATTATACCTGATTTTTGAAACATTGTACTTTCCACTTCGCCACAAGAATTAACTCCGATTTCTGATCATAAATGAAAAATACTTATAAATATATTACAGGGGCATTAATTGTTCTAGTGGGTAAGTTATTTTATTTTTAGGATTATAGATTTAATCTTTTACGAACAAATATATGCATAAATATTTGGATGATAGTTTTTAATATGTTAGACGCATATAAGTTAAAAATAATTTTTATTTGACTTTTTTTAATTCTTTCTTTTCACTCACCAAGAATCCGATCAACAGTATAAGTTCCTCAAATTATGCCAATAGTAAGCAAAATAAATCAAAGTTTTAAAAATAATTTAATTATTACTAGTCTGATTTACACAAATAAATCTTTTCTATGGCACTATTTAAATTTTGACCTAATAAAAAAAGTAATGCAAAAAATTACATTTTACTACTCACTAGAGCAAAATTCTAGCAATTTATCAAAAGATTTTGCCTAATCAACAACAAGTAATAAGATAATCGATCCTCAAAACTTTTGATGATAATCATCGTAACATGATCTTGCAAAAACTTATCAATCACAACATGTTATCATAATCATCAAAATTTGATCATAAATTTCGACGGATCGCTAGAATTTCAGTCATAAAAAAAAAATCAACAACAATATAAAGAAGAGGAAAGTAATCAGAGCGAATATAAATTAAATAGGTGTCATTCCTAAGTCTACTCTGCGTTCCCAATGATAATAACAATAATAATTACATCAATCGCAAATAATTAAGTTAAAAATCAATTATATGAATATCTAATAACATCAGACATAATAAAACCAAATAAATCAACTAACCAATTCTTCCTACATCAACAAAAAAAAAATAATTAAGTCATAGAAAAACAATAAGAAAGAAGAATATATTTACCCCCCTTAAGCCAACAAAAAAAGAATCAAGAAAATGATAGCAATAGACATGTCTAGCTAAATTTGTACACATAAATTAAATTCTCAAAACTTTCCTAATCAAGCAAGAAAAATAAAGAGGAAAATTAAAGAAAACTCACATGAGATATAATTGATTGGGAGAGAGAATATATGTTAATGATAAGCTTTCTCTTTGTGGAAATATTGTATCTCAAACCATATAAAGATTAAATATATATATATATATATATATATATGGTGTTTAACATGGTCTATTCATAATTGTGCATGCTAAGTTGGAATATCAAATAAAATAAAAAGAGAGAATCAAAGAAGAGAAGATAAGAAAGTGATGTGTGAATATATTTAATTTTTAAAAATAATAAAACACAATCTAGGATTACCATTGTAAGACATATGATGTTTCCATTATTCTAATAGTAAATGACTAAAAGGCACTTGTATAATATTCTTCTCCATTTTTATACCTATTATAATCTATGCTCTCTTATATAATAATAAATAATATGATAAAGAAACATGACTAGTATAGGTATAAGATAAGGTCATTTTGTTAGATTTTTTTTTTTTGAATCATACCTAAAATGTTTAAGTGGTAGATCTATCAAAAAGTGGACTAACAATTAGAGGTTATAGATATCGAATAACTAATAGAAAATAAAAAATACTTCAGTTTCAATTTAAAACTTCAATTAAAATATTTAATTTTCTGATAATAATTAAATAGAGGCAGACATTTATGAAGTATTCACATAAATATCAATAACTAATTACACAAATTCAAAATTTTTAAAATATTAATTAAATAAAAATAATCTTTAGCCTGACTTCATCTTCACTTTAAGAATTTTTGAATTTATGATCAAGATAATTTTTAAAAATATCTTTTTTAAGTTTTATTTTTTACTTAATTATTTGATATTCATTTATATCTTTATGATCTTTAACTATACGACTTTAAGATATTGAAGTTTATAATTTTGCACCAATCTTTAAAGATGATGATGAATAGTTTATAGTAGATATAGATAAACTAACTTCTTTCTTATTTTCTCAACAAAAAGAGGATAAAATAGTAAAAACACAAAAACAATGACAATAATGGCCAACTATTGATAATTCCAATATTAGAAAGTGGACAAAACGTGTCCTTTTTTAAATAGTGAATTCCTTTAACTTTTAGCCCCAAAAATCGCCGCGTGTGTACGGCTATTAAATCTCGAAACGTGATGACTCAACAGTCAATATAACGGCGCAACGCCGTTAACTCCCCTTCTCATTTGTCTTGTCGGGTAATTAGGTGGCAAACGTTTACCAATAAAATTATTTCTATTACTCGTTCCGTCTTATATTAGTTAATTATATTATGTGTAAGTTAATCACTTTACTAATTATATTACTTTAGCAATTTTGAAAGTGCATAACTGTACGTAAAAGTTTCAAAAAATCTTTAAGAGATGAATTAATAATTTTTTTAAAAATATTATATAAAATAAAAAGTAATCACAGAGAAAACGAGAGAGTGAGACGACATTTCGTGGGTCTCCGTGAAAGTGACCGTTAACTTTCCACGTGTCCATAATAATGGAGTAAACGTTCTGCAGTTTAACATATAGCCAAACAAGTGTGTGCTATGTTTGCTAGTGCAATTATGCAAAATATGAACAATGAAAATGAATACTTCCTAACCTTATCACCTTTTAACTCAAGTCTACTTCGTTGTTTTAAGGCATAATACATATATTGAATTTTAAATTTTACTTTAAATTTTAATTTTAACTTTCAATTTTTATAATGCACAAACAGACACTTTATTTAACTTTTAAATAAATAAACACATGAGTCCTACATGACATAATACACGTAGAACACCATGTAGGATAAAAAATAACATGCAGGATGATATGTAGGACATATGTGTCAATTTGTTCAACTTTATACAAGTTTAAGTGTATATTTGTGCACATCCAAAGTTGAAAGACATAAATATAATTTGAAGCCAAGTTAAATGGTACATTTATGTATTATGCCTTGTTTTAAAGATTTAATATATATGTACGAAAAATAATTTTTGACTTATGTATTGTAAATAACTTTTTTATATATATATAATATGTTTTTTCGGCTTAAGGGTGTTTCTTCTTTATATGTGACTATACCGCTGCCTAGATCTCATTTTTTAAATTCACGGGATATGTTATTATTGTTATTGTAACTGTAAACATGTAATTCAAAGTTATAGTTTTGCCTCTATTAATAGTAGATCTAGAGTTTAACCTATAGATTCATCAAGATTGTGTAGTTTTTGGTTAGAGTTTTTAAATAATACCCTTTAATCTATGTTCGAAATTTTAGAGACATTTATACTATACTAATGTCTTATTACTTCTGAACTTATTTTATAAATAATTTTCTATTTTTTTCGATCTACGTGACACTAGCTTGAAAAAAAAACCAATACGCATTGAGCTCAGAAGATAGTGTCATGCAAACCTAAAAGAAGTAGAAAATTATTTATAAAATAATTCATGGGATACTAGGACTTAAGTATAGTATAAATGTATCTGAAATTTTTAAAATAGGTTGAAGGTACTTATGCATTTTCTCAAAAATAAGATAATGAATCCTATTATTAGTATAAATTAATTTGAAATTACGATATAAATTCATAATTTTCAAATTTTGAATTTATGGTCGTAGATCTATCAAGTTTAACCTATAGCTTGTCCTCCTAAATCCTACTTATAAAGTATGATTAAATACACCATATAAAGGATGTTGAAAATAAAGTTTTCCACCATACTATTATAAATGGCTAGGATTTATAAAGAATATACTCCGCATTTTCTAAAATATATTTTTATATACGTTGTGTTATTGTAGATCTGTTTTAGCCAAGAATAAACCTATAAGTATTTTTAAAAATGATCTTAATAATTTTCGTTAAATTATCATTTCTTTAATACCCACGTGATTTTTAAAACCAAAATGGAAATTAAGAAAAAAAAAGTGAAAGTGATTTATAATCTTATCGATACTAAATATAGTAAACTTCAATGACACTTCTCTCTTACATATATTTTTATAAGATTCTTGACGTTTTTATGTGGTTGTCTGATTTAGTACGTCACAACTCACATGCTCTTTTACTTTTTTAGTTTAAAATCGTCTCGTGATATACTAAACTTTCGTTATATATAAAATCTAAAGAAGAATTATGAAAAAAAATATTTAATTATGGTAAAAAAATGCTTCTCTGATCACATGACAATAACGTTATCATTTGCACTAAGACTTTCATTAAAATTGACCCTAGCAACTAACACTTAGTTCAATGACTTTAATGAGATGAAAAATAGTTTTGTGAACTTTGGTGACACAAAGAGGTAAAATTAATTTACTCTCGTGTGATATTAGACTAAAGATAATTATTAGTGTGACTTTAAACATATAATGCATTTAATAGTAAAAATCTTCAAATTCTGAATACGTCTTTTTATATAAACTTATTGAAATTTGAAATTTACCTGTGAAAATTGAAGCTTTTTGTTCTTTGAGATCCTTGTGGTTTGATTTTGAAGATCTGTTTAATGAGTTGTTGTTGTGTAGTAGCAAGATACTTCTGAGAGAAGAGGAGAAGAAAAAAGGGGAAAATTAAGTCAAATATATCTTCTGTTGATTAAGGCCATGTGGATGGTGGATACAAGTTCCATGTGTTGGACTGACTCTTATATTGAGGGACGCGGATTAGTGACGGAGTCATTTTGTTCAATAGACGTTGAAAATTAAATTATAAATATTGAATCATTTTAACTGTTTTGTGTTTACTTAGTGAAAATCCAGATTCTGATTTCTAAACTACTACTAGGTGACAAGCACAAGTATATACTTTATACTAATATAGTTTTAACATAAGTTATGTAAAGATAATGAAGCTTGAAGCAGCTTCCAAATGACAAGTTGTTTTTCACTATGAATTTGAACAAAGTCTTCTATGTAATCGCCATCACATTCTTGATTTTATTAAGAGTAGAATATGAAAATTAATAGTAAGGTTTTCGAGAAGGGTTTAAGTTATATGCATGATAAGTCACTTATAAAATAATTATCGGTATATACACTTTAATTGATAATGTGAAGAATCTTAGTAGTTTTTTTTTATATATATACATGGAGTATTATTTTGAGAAAATTGCGTGGAATAGCAAACATCCCCAAGTAATTAGTTAATAAGGGTATAGTTTAATTTATTTACTCTCAATAATTATTTTTTTTTGTCATAATTAATGAGACCCACCACCTCTTTGTATACCAATCATAAATTTTTTTTTATCTTTTTATATAATTTTATCAAATTAATTTTATCTCTCCTACACTCATTCCATATCTTTCTCCTAAAATCACTCCTCCACTCCTATTTTGAATTTTGAAAAATTTCACCATATCCCTGTTGTCTTACATTCATTAATCCAATTTTTTAAAATTTTTTTTCCTTCATCATCGTAATTATATATGTATTATTTTTCTTAGTTTTTTCATATATTTTTTTTAAAAATATCTTTCTTTCTTGTCAGTTTAAAGTTCTTCAAAATGAGAATAAAGGATTCATCACCATATATGAGGATTACGTGAGGTATGTCATTGCATGTCAATATTGTTTATAATCCACCTTCGTTTACAATTGAGTTATTTCAAGATTTTGGGGTCAATGTAGGGTATATGACAAAACATAAACAAGTTCAAGTTGAACAATATCTTGAATAGCGATTCAAGAAAAAAAATGATCCAATGACAATTCAGAAAGTCATCAACAACGCGAAATCTAGCGGCATTAAGATACTTGAAGGTTGAAGCAAGAGAAAAGTCAAAAACATAAATTCAGACGAGATTGGATCTATCTCATCAAAACTGAACAGAACTAGACAAATCTAAAGAATATCAGTTGTGTAATTTATATACAAATTACTAAAGTTATGTATATAGTGGGTTGTGTATTAAGGTAATATATACAAAGTATTATGAGATAATGTTATTTGTATACAAATATTTGTATAGAAGAAATTTGTTAATTATTGTATAATACATATATAAAATTATAGTATATTATACAAATTCGTCGATATATACCAAAAATTATGAACATGATAAAATATTGTATATATAAACATTACACACTAAATACACAAACATATTTCAAGCTTACCATATATACAATTGACAAATGAATATTATACAATCATTTTGATCATTAATTTTATAAAAAAACATGAAATTACATATGTACATATTCAAATATAATACATATACCAAATTATTGTATATTATACAAATCCGTAAATATATACTATAAAAAAAATGAACATAATAAAATATTGTATACAAATAAACTACAGAAAATAATTAAGAACAAATACAACACACTTTTTATTTTAAAAAACAAACATGATTGTCATATATATAATTTTCATATTTATGATGATCGCATATACATTTAATAATACATAATAAATTACACATGAAATTGTATAAAAAAATATTTACAATTTCTCAAATATATACAATATAATCAATGTATATATATACAAATAAAATCATTAACGTCTAAGTGTTTCATATGACTTATTTTAAACAAAATTGAGAAAATATTTAATTTTGAATGGTTATCTTAAATAATGGGATTGTGTAAATGTTTGTTACCTTATTTAGCGATATTGTTACCATTCAATGAATAAGTAAAATATTAAATAAATTAAAAATAAAAAAATATTTTATACAAATTAAAAGATATATAACAAACTAAACTATACCCATAAAATGTAATTATGTAAACTACATCCATATAATGTTATTTAATAAATTATGTTTGCTATATATGAAATTTTCCCAATTATTTTTGTGCATTGCAATAATGTAGCACAAAATAATCCAAGAAATATTAATAACTTTATGATTGGGCCGGGACCCAAAATATGATTGGGCCTGGACCCAAACAAGTCCGGCCCATTAAAACAGTTTCTTAGGCTTCCTCAGCTCTGCCACTTTGCTTGTAGTCTGCCGCAAAATCTGCCCCTGACTGGTAAGTTGTATAAAGTTTATGTACTTCTAGTTTGTTTTTTGAGTTGAAATTTGATGATTTATGAGTTTTTATGATTGGGTTTTTGTTTCTTATAGCTTATGCTATTCAATGATAAATTTTGTTCGATGAAGTTTGTGTCTTTTAGTTAGTTTTTGAGCTTACATTGATTCTTTCTGGCTTTTCGTGAATTGGGTTTCTGTTTCTTGGTAGAATAAGCATATAAACATTGAGGACTTGTTTCATTTTGTACTGGAAATATTCTTATATAGCTCAATGGTAAAAAATTTTTCATAAAGTTTGTGTCTTTCAGTTAGTTTTTGAGCTTCCACTGATGGTTTTGGATTTTTTTGAATTTTTATGGACTGTAGGTTGGTTTCTTAATAGTTGGCATTTGTAAATTGAGGGATTGTGTGATATTGTACTAAAAAATCATTGAATATGGACTACAGCTTATGCTATGCAATGGTAAATCTTGTTTCATGAAGTTTGTGTGTTTTAGTTGGTTTTTGAGCTTCCATTGATGGTTTTGGATTTTCTATATTGGGTTTCTGTTTCTCAGTTGTTGGCATTTGAAATTGGAAGTTGTGGTATTCCTAGTTGAAAATTCTTTGTACGTCACTTGATCAGTTGGTGCTTCAAACATGTTAGACTATTGATTCCTCTATATGCTTACAAGCTAATATAGCCTCAATTTGGGTTATGCGTTCGGGTTCTTTTGCCTTTCAGTAGATAAACGTTTGGTTTGTTCAGCGATAGTTCTAGCTCATCGACAAGAAGGATAAGTGCAAAATGGTGAGGGAGCCAGTAAATATAGTGGTGTCTAAAAGTCCAGATGTTGAGTGAAGTGTGCATTAACCAGCTATCCCTTGAGAGTGTTAGCTTGCCGCTAACAGCAAAGATGATTGATGCTTTCTTGCTCGTCTGAACTGCATTGTCTTCTTAATTTTGGGCTCAGAGCACGGGCCAACAGCAAAGTATACATAACTGAGTGTGTTTATTTTCAAGTGAATATCAATCTGCAGCCTCTCGCAAGATCTGAAAAGCCACAGTCGAACAGCACAGAAACACATACAGTTGTTGATGGCAATGATCGCCAGGAGAAGCAAGAGCTCTGTACATCTCTTGCATGAAGTCCTCTTTTCCGACCACCCTCTTCCCTGCTCATACACCCAGCAGCAGACCTATGTAGATGTGTACATGAAATGGAAGAAAGACTCTTTTTTTGACTCCATCGATACTATTCACAGATCAGTTCAACTCAAGCCCTTAATTGCTCTTAAGAACTGCATAGTCTCCTCTTCACCTAATGATTATTGCATCCCCATTTCTGTTATTTCGAAAAAAGGCTTAGAGTTAGGGATACCCATTAAGGTTGCCAGGTTCTTAAGGCTGTATCCATCTGTTTTTGAGGAATTTACTGGCCCTAACTACAATTTGCCTTGGTTTAAGTTGACCCAGAGGGCTATTGAGCTTGATAGAGAGGAGAGAGAGGTCTACTTAAAATTTAAGGATGATATCATTTTGAGGCTGAAGAAGTTGATACTGATGAGTGGCAGGGAACAGAAGCTTCCTCTAAAGATAATTCAGGGTCTGCAATGGTATTTGGGGTTACCTGACGAATTCTTAAGGAGACCGCAAGACAATCTTGATGGGTGTTTCAGAGTTGTTGAAATGGAAGATGGATTGAAAGGGCTTGCTGTTGATGTTCATGGAAGTGAAAGGTTTTTATCAGTGATGCAGACGAATGCGATGAGGAGGGGAACGTATAGTGGTGTGGAGGGTGAGGCAATAGAATTTCCACTGTATCCATCAAAGGGATTGAGGCTTAAAAGAAAGATTGCAGATTGGTTTGATGAGTTTCAGAAGTTTCCATATGTTTCACCCTACGAGGATTATTCAGGTTTGGATCCAAATAGTGACATAGCAGAAAAACGAGTGGTGGGTGTGCTTCATGAATTGCTTAGTTTGTTTGTCGAGCATGCTGCAGAAAGGAAGAAGCTTTTGTGTCTTAGGAAATACTTGGGGTTGCCGCAGAAAGTTCACAAGGCATTCGAGAGGTATCCTCATATCTTCAATTTGTCATTGATGAACAAGACTTGCACCGCAATACTAAAAGAAGCTTACTGTGATAGAGGGGCTATCGAGGAACATCCATTAGCAAAAGTTAGAAAAAGGTACATCAAATTGATGAAGGAGTCGGAGGGTATACTGAGACGTAGAAGGTTTAACAACAAGCCAATTGATCAGGGTGACTCGAATATCAAGGACTTGGATTGTACAGATGACGAGGATAAGAAATTTACAACTTAGCTCTGCTCTTTATGCTTGTGCCACTATAATCAGGTGCAGGATTTAAAAGAAATTATAACCGAGAAGCAAAAGAAAATTGAAAGAACTGTTCAAGCAGGATTTGTAAGCATTTGGAATGAAATGTAAAGACTGTTTTGATCTGTATAGCTTCAGAGGTGGATGTTTCTCTCATTTATGCTGCAGTTCTTTCACTCATTAAGGGCGATTTCAGTATGAAAGGGATGGCCACAGTCATGCGACGGAATTGTCATACTATTATGTATTACCAATGGAGCCTCGATGTCTTGATCAACGGTACATGTTTAGCTTACATGATGTATTATTAGCTCACTGATGCCCCCCTACCCCCCTCATATCTTCTATATAACATGCTTGACACTTTTATGTAACAATGTTGGATAGTTTTATGTCGTTTTTCCTCGACATATAATTGCTATTCCTTGTGATCTATCTTAACTCTTTTCTTATTTTCATGCTTTCTTTTGTTGTTTCTTCATATTTCAATGCCACCTGACTATGGCATTGCTTTCTGCTCGGTTTTCTCAAGGTTGAAATTATTGAAGTATATCATGCTCATCGAGTCTGTGCTCTTTAAAGCACCCAACACCACATCGAATTAAACTGTCCTTGTTGATGTGTTTATGTTTAGTTCCAAGACTAGATGCTTTGTCTAGTTTTGAGTGAACTGTGGATTGTGCATGTTTAATCTTTGGTCATTACAATCCCCTATCAGGAACCTCCTGTGACTTTTTGGTGTAGTTCAAAACAGAGAAGCCTCGATTGCAGACTGCAGAAACTATGATGGATGCCTTTCGGGATTGAGAGGAAGTCATTCTCACCGGAAGATAGAAGAATATACACGAACACTTCATCATCATTGAAAGCAGCAGCAACAGAGCTGGCATTATAAGGAAACTACTTAAAGAATTCTTGAAAATAAGCATAGATCAATATATGTAATGAAATGTAATGTCTTATAATTGTTATATTCCTGGTTTGAACTGTGCATTACAACCAAGATGTAAGATTTTGTGGACTTTTCGAATTACCTACATGTTTAAGGGAACATAAAGTCCCCCTTTTCTGTACAGTTTTTGGCACCTTGTTGGTGCAATCAATGAATTTATAGCAGAAACAAATAAAATTGTGATCATTATGATTCTCAGTATTTCAAGCATGCATGTTGACAATTTTTTATTGAGAAGTTGTTGAGTTATCATGAACTTTTCATGCTGAGCCCAAACTTGCTCAAGAGTTACTTCTTACAGTGAATGAGTAGTGATGCCTCAATTTCAAAGCAAGTTGGAGTCGACTACGTGAATCTCCATTTTCCATTTAGGCCAATGAAGCAAAATAATGACTGTACATTTGCTGTAGCAAATTAAACCAGAAATAGTCTTTTCCAACAGCTCATCAGCTTCATCATAAGAAATCTCAGATTTAACCAGAGATAGGAGTATAGCATACATGTATAACATTGAAACAAGTGTTGTTTTCATAAGATACACACACTAGAAGCTGCAGCAGGATGATGCACCTCTCAATATGTTTCTTACTCCAATGGTCTTGCCCTTGCTAATATAAAGGGAACTAAAATACAATTGAGAATCCACTCTACAGAAGGGCCCAGTGCAGTGACGAAAACAAGATTTTCACCAAGAGGGTTCAACATCTACTGTATATTATATATACATAAAGGTTTTAATCTTGCATATGAAATGCTAAAGCTCCATTTACACATGGACAAGAAAAAAAAGTAGTACATATGATTGAGGGCCTTGTACAGAATGATACATATCAAGAACTGTTTCTGGTTTTCACCCTTCCAATATAACCTCCTGACTCTCTAATATGAAAATCGAAATTACAAGCTCGGAGCTGATCATCATAGAATACATAGTTTAACTATTTTGACTACTAATCAAGGCTAATAACAGTGAATTTCGTACCGTTTTGTATTTCTACAGGGGTTTCAAGGTCTGAGGTTAAGCAGAGATTTTTGGATGATACGAGTTTTGATTCAACTCTGTGTAACCTCTTGAAGCATTTCTATCACCTTCTTCATTCTTGGTCGTTTTGCTGGAATGGTATCGGTGCACATCAATGCGACTTTTAGAGTTGCAAGCATTTCTTTCCTCCAAGCAAAAGAAATGGTGCTAAGTCTTGCATCAAGTATCTGCTCTGGTGTTTCTCCTCTGGCAGATGCACCATGAACCCACCTGACCAGATCAACTCCTTCACCAAAAGCTTCATCAACGGGTAGTCGGGTGGTAAGGATCTCGAGCAAAACAACGCCATAGCTATAAACATTTCCGGGAGCTGTTACTTGCATTGTATATGCATACTCTGTTGAAGAAAAAGGAAGTAGTTAGACGCCAGACATTTTCCAGGAAAAGAAATTACTCCCTCCGTTTCAGTTTGTTTGTGTGGCATATAGAATATACAAAATGCCTGTGGTCTTAAAATTAAAGAGTTACCAAGAAAGGAAGAACATCTTTTTTAAACCGACTAAAAAGGAAAGTAAGACAAACAAATTGAACCACGAGGTAGTCAAATGATTAGCCAAGTCTTTCAAGCCACAGAATATACCTGGGGGAATGTATCCAAATGAACCAGCAACAGCACTAATACTTGCAGTCCCTCTAGATGGATCAAGAAGTCGGGATATTTCAACTTCAGCAACCAAAGGGGTGAATTTAGAATCAAGAAACACATTCCCTGAAGAAACATCAAGATGGATTATGGCTACGTGATGAAGGAATGCTAGTCCTTCTGCAACTCCAATGGCAATGGAAAGTCTCGTAGGCCAGTCAGGTTCATATTCAGGTTTCTGGCTAAACTCATGAAGAAACTGAGCTAATGTCCCATTGGGATAGTATTGGTGTAAGAGTAGAACAACATCCTCATAGATTGCAAACCCGATAGGCCTCGTAAGATTATCATGACAGAGTTTACTTAGCTTTTCAAGCTCTCTGATCATCTTGCTCTGGTGATGAACTATAGTATTGTCCATCGACTTTAGGCTCTTAACAGACAAAATCATCCCAGAAGGCATGTCTGCTCTATACACATTGCTGAAAGTTCCAGTACTAATCTTATTTGTATCTTTCCTGACTGCCTTTACAACTGAATCAAAATCTATTGCTTGCTTGAGATTTTCATCGAAAACATTCCCTGCTATGATCACTGGTTTGCTACAAGTTTCATCAGTGGTATTTCCAGCTTCCATGGTGGTTTTCTCTTGTTTCTCCCTCATCATGTATAGTAAAACAACCACTGTGACAGCTGTAAAAATTGCCAAACCAGAACCAACAACAGCCAAGATGAGCCGGTAGGAAACTCGGTGATGATTACCATTGTGCTCAAAACCATATCCACAATCACTACTCAAAGGCTCACCACAGAGCCCTTTGTTTCCAAGAAAGCTTGAATTTAAGCTCTTCTCAAATGGAGCAAAAGCAGGTATTGGTCCTGTGAATTGATTGCTCGAAAAGTTAACCTCTATCAAGCTCAACATGCCCTTCAATTCCAACGGAATATTCCCCGACAGCTGATTATTAGATACATCTAAAGAAACCAACTTGTCAAGTTTTCCAAGATCCTTAGGCAACTGTCCATGGAGATGATTATGACTCAAATTCAATGAAATCTGTAAGTTCTTCATATGACCAATCTCCGAAGGGATGCTTCCAGTAAGATAGTTACTCCCCATTTGCAACTCAAGCAGTTTTATGCAGTTCCCGATCTCACGAGGTATATCCCCTTTCAAGGAGTTCTGTCCCAACAGCAAGAACTGCAATTTAGTTGTGTTGCATATATCTCTTGGAATGGTACCATTGAACTTGTTGTTACTTAAATCAAGCTTGTTGAGATTCTTGCACCTCAGAACTGAAGTTGGAATCTCTCCATAGAGATTATTCCCCGGAACAATCAACTCTTGTAGATTATTGAGCTCACCAAACTCCGAAGGGATAGTTCCAGAAAATCCATTCGAAGCTAAATTAAGAAGAGTAAGATTAGAGCATTTTGCAAATCCTGATACGATTTCCCCGGAAAGTGTGTTATTATCTGCTTCAAAATAAGTAAGACTACTTATATTTCCAATTCCTTTAGGGATACCACCTATCAACTTGTTATTCCCAATTCTAATGCTTGAAAGGCCTTTGCAGTTCACAATTGAATCAGGAATAGTGCCATTCAACTTATTATTAGTCAAAACTAAAAATTCAAGCTTTTCCATAGCAAAAATACTCTCAGGAATTGTCCCTTCAAGCTGATTTGAATGAAGATTTAACAACAAAAGCTCAGAATGTAAGCCTAAGTTAACTGGAATATCACCACTAAACTCATTCTCATAGGCTGCAAACACTCTAAGATTAGTCAAATTCCCAATCCACATAGGAATAAAACCACTCAATTTATTGGTAAATATTTGGAAATAAAGCAAATTCTCCATCCCTTCAAGCTCATCAGGTATTGAACCAGTGAGCAAATTGTTTGAAAGATTCAATGCTCTAAGGTTCTTGAGCTTACCTAATTCACCAGGAATAGAGTTTCTAAACATGTTAAAAGACAAATCAAGAAACTGAAGCTCAGACAAATTCCCAAATGCTTGTGGGATTGAACCTTGGAAATTGTTATTAGAAAGGTCCAGCCATTTCAATCCTTTGAGCTCAGATATTAGAGTCACATTACCTTGTAATCGAAAACCCGAAAGATTCAGCCTTTCCACCATTGAATTGTTTGAGCTGCTGCAACTAATACTATGCCAAGAACAGAAATCAGTGCTGTTCAGATCCCAACCAGGTATTGCTAGCTCTTTGCCAATTGCTTCCAAAATGGCTTGTTCATGAAGAGCCTGTACAGTCCCAAAATAAGACTTTAACCACAACCCCACCAGCAAAACAGTGAACAACCTCAAAGTTACCATTTTTAAGTTGTTTTTCAAGAAAATCTCTAACTTCTTCCCCTTTTTCCCCAAAGAGAAAAAACCCAAATGGAACAATCAAGAAACCATAAAGACCAAACACCCAAAAACCAAGAAACCTTGTAGAGACAACTAGAGTAGAAACAAAAGGTTTTAGAAAACAAAAGATACAAACTTGAACAACTTAAAGGAAATGACCCATTTCAAGAATCTTGAAAATGAAACAGAACAATAAAGATACAATCTTTACTACTCAAGAATGAACCCCACGTACCAAAAACAACAAATAAGTTGCAGAAGTGATAAAAATGCAGTTTCAAGGACAAATAGAAGAAAGATAAAAACTTGAACAACTTAAAGGAAATGACCCATTTCAAGAATCTTGAAAATGGAACAGAACAATAAAGATTCAATCTTTACTACTAAAGAATGAACCCCATGTACCAAAAACAACAAATAAGATGCAGAAGTGATAAAAATTGCAGTTTTAAGGACAAATAGAAGAAAAATGATGCAAATGGGGTACTTATTTTGATTTAGGAAACTGCTTACATGGGCCAGGTGTTTTTCTCTTCTCTCTATTGGAGTTTCTGAAAAGAGAAAAGAGAGTTTGGGAGAGAGAATCTATGCTACTAATGACTACTACTTATTTGAGTACTCAAACTCAAACTGACAGTGTCACGAGAAAAGAGCAGTGTGAGTGAATGAAACTGTGTATATGAGTCTCTGCAACTGCTACTTATGAATACTTCCAATAGAATGAGTTAATTTACGCGGTGTAAATCTGAATTAATGAATCAGTAAACTATAAATATTATATGTTAATAGTTTGAGTTGGTGATGTAGTTCAGATAATTTTAACTATGACATATTTGGAACAATGTTTTCTTTGTCTCAATTTTAATAACATACTTTTTATTTTAATTTGTTCGAAAAGGAACGTCGTATTCGTATAAATGAAAATAATTTAACTTTAAAACTCATGTTATATCGAGAAATGTTTAAAAGATAAATTCCAAAAGGGTTCATTTCATGTCATGTTGTCCAAAAATGGAAGGGAAAGATCTACAACGACGATAATGACTAAACCTTTTAAATAATTGATTCGTTTTTCAAATAAAGTCTTGTAAAATTTTCTCTCTTTGCTTCGAGTGTTACGTCAAAAATGACTTGCAAGTTCTATTATGATCGATCTTCATTAGTTGTTCCTTGTTCGTGAATTTCATTATCAAGAAGTCTAC